CAGTTTAAAATTAGACAGAAGTAAACCCCAAGAAAGGAAAAAGTCTTTGAAGCCTAGGCTCCCCGCAACTGCGCATGCTCCAGAGGGAAGAGGGCGCGTGCCCCTCCTGCCCGCAGGCCCAGGGCTGCCCTGTCCTAGTCTCTCCGCCTCAGATGCGCCAGCCCTGCCCAGGCTACGTGCATTTGGCTGCCATTGAGGCTGCTCCGGCCAGGATGGGCAGCTGAGCCTAGCTGCAGTTCGGCGGCAGTAGCGCTGCGCTCGTCTCCCGGCTGTCCCCGCGCGCCCCCTGGGGGCTGATCCGGCGTTGGCGCAGAGTCCAGCCGGCCGCCGGTGGCGGTGGGACAGACACGTGCCTGCTGAAACTGCTCATTAGGGACCTGCGGAGAATGCAACTATTCTGTCTTGGTGTTAGGAAGGAAGGGAGAGCTCCCATTTTATTAACTAGCGTCAATCTACGAAAACAGAAACAGTTTAGGAAGCAAAGTGTTTATTTGGGATCAAAGAGTAGCAATTCCGGGAGCACAGATTCAGAGACCCAAACAATGTCCCGATTATAAGAGAGGGGCTCAGAGTTTTCATGGGTAAAAGGCAGGAAGATGAGTTGAGTTGTATTAAGGAAGAGTTCACTGGTGCTAGATGAGGTAAGGCTAGGTTTGTACTTCACAGATTGGCCTGAGATTCCATCATCAGGTAAAAGGCTAGACTTGTACTTCGTTGATTGGTTAGCGATTTGGTCATCAGCAAAGTCCAGTTTCATCAGTCCTTACAAACAGGATATTCTTGTCCTTACTGACTTGTTGGAATGTTGGCGGTTTGGTCCAATAAAGAAATTTTTTTTTTGGACAATAAAAATAAAGAATACAAGACGTTTGCAAAATAAAGAAAACAAGACATGCAAGGCAATTCCTTTGAAATGGTTGCTCCAGCTCTGCTTTAATATGGCTCCACTCATGTCATCTTTCACACTAGAGACTTTCATTTGAAAATTATCTTTAAATGAAAGAGCAAGAAAGAAATATGGATTTTATCCTTAGCTGGACTAAAGTAACTTCCACGGAACTTACTTCAAGAGAGAATGGCAATATTAATATACAATAATTTTTAAATTTAAAAATAATTTTTAATCGTATATAATAGATTTTTAAACTGCTCAATTCCCAAGCTGAAAGTTGAAGTGGTGTTTTGACAGTGAAGACTGAATGGGAAATGCCATTGCACACTTTCTACATCAGAGCTGAAAGACAAACAATTTCTTATGACACTTAAAACTGAGAGGTTGAGGTCCAGATACAGATTATAGTGAGGTGTTGAGTATAGCTTTGTAGTTGTTTATTTTAAAGTATCACATATTAAGTAGATACCTCCCCAACTCCCTCCTTAAGCGAATTTTACAATTTTTTTTTTTTTGAGGAACATTAGCCCTGAGCTAACATTTGCCACCAATCTTCCTCTTTTTGCTGAGGAAGACTGGCCCTGAGCTACCATCTGTGCCCATCCTCCTCTACTTTATATGTGGGACACCTACCACAGCATGGTTTGCCAAGCGGTACCATGTCCACACCCAGGATCTGAACTGCAAACCCTGGGCTGCCGCAGCAGAACGTGCACACTTAACGGCTGCGCCACCCAGCCAGCCCCACGAATTTTACAATTTTAACTTTATTAAATTCACACAAACTATACTTTTAAAATTATCTTTGACCTAAAATAAATTATGCTGTAGGTAATGAAACTGCCAATAAAAATCTGATAATAGGACCTACATATAATTGATGTATTTAAGTGAGTTAAGCTCCTATACAGCAGGTAAGTGTACCCAAGTCTCATAAGATTTTTGAGCGAGACTGTTAATGTTTTGGTTAACATCAAGAGGTTGTTAACCTCTTGCACTAAAATTAGTGCAGAAAATTATTGTCCGGGGCAGGGACTCTTAACCTTTCTTTGTGTTCCATGGACCTCTTTGGCAGCCTGGGAAAACCTCTTCTCAGAATGTTTTTTTAATGTCTAAAATAATAATTAAAAACCATCGGATTATAAGTGAGAAAGTGAAAATCAGCTTGGACAGTAAAAAATCTACCCTGCCATTCATGAGCCTGGAATAAAAGGCAGATAAAACCAGTTGCAAAATTAACAGAAAACAATATTTCTTCCCAAACACAGTAGAGTTGTGAAGTGTCATAACCTTCTGCTTTCTGACTCATTGAGAAAATGCATTCTCTAAAATTAACGACTTAAAGAGACTTTGTATTTGAAATTATATCAGTAAGAACGAACTACCCCACCTTTGCCTGAGGAATCCCAGTCATGACACACAGAACCAGCCTCAATTTATAACCTTTACAACCCAGGTGCAGAGCTTCCAATAAGGGGTTTCTAAACACAAAATTCCACCTCTATTTTAACATCGGGGCTTCCAAGGAAATAGGACCCTAGGTCCACTTTGTAGTCTACACTGCACATTGACCCTGTGTGTTGACACACAGCCTTGCTTGGTTTTGGGCCTCCTGAAATATTGCTCATGTAAATTTCACCTAAATTCCACCATACTCCAGAATCCTATAACTCCATCTTTTCCACTGGGGAGATGCCAAGCTGTTCCTCTGGTGTGCAAATCGCCCACGTTGCAATGGTTGACAAACCCGATTTTATCAGGCTACAGCAATGCTTCTTGTGGTCTTAAGCTAATTGGGCAAGGACCAATTGAATTAAAATTCAGTCTACTGACGGGCCCTCAAGGTTTAAAAACCACGGACCAGAGAGAAAGAACAAGTACAATGAGGGATCAGGCAACAACAATCTACAAACATCTTTAGCCTAGGGTGCTGGATCATAGCTCAGAGAAACAGAAGGTGGTAGAACCAGACCAGAGCAGATGGGAGCTACCAAGAGGCTGTGTTAGGGTTAATATGAGGACATGCTTTCTCACCATTAGAGCTCTCTGCACACAAGCGAAGAAACTGCAGACCCAAGAGGGGAGATCCCCACCACTGCCCAAGGTCAACCTGAAGCTTGTTTTGGTAGCTCTGGGAGGTCCTGAGCTGGATGGGAAGTTCCCTTGTGGCCCTCTAGTATTTGGTCCCATTGTTTGTAAAGTTATAATGTTGCTTAGGGGAACTGTTTCTTTTAATTAGTTTTGAGCCATGCTCCAGCATGGGACCGCTTGCGAGCCCACAGGTGCCCTTCAAATCAGACATTACGTACATTTCAGCTTTCGTGGCTAGGATGTGTTCCCCTCTCATCTTGGAGGGTCTGTGGTTAGGCCGGTTTAGCCTTGGTGATTTGAAATTGGTGAGTGGTAAATGGAGGAGAGCTAGACTTGGAGCCACCTAAACACTTAGGCAAGTGGGTGTCAAATTGGGGCCTGCCTGAACCTCCACAGAACTCCCCACCCCAGTGCAGCAAATGGGCAAAGGTGTGTGTGCGTGTATAGGAGAGGTGGCCTGGCAGGCCTGGGGAAGCCAGCGACACTCCCACCCCTCTCCGCCATGGGTCATGATGGTCACCTCTGGCCATGGTGCTACTAGCTCAACACAAGGTTGAACCATATTGTAACTTTAAATGACCTCTGACTAACTAGCCCAGAGATACTCTGTAGATTTTGTGGCCCCCTCCCAGCTGCTTTAATATGATAACTTTATTCTTTTGAGTTCCTTAGGAATGTGATGAGCCCGGGGCAGAGAGCCTATGCCGATAGCCATCATCAATGACGACTGAAAGATCAGGGTAGAGGGCATTGCTCCATTCTCTGACGCATAGCCAGTAAAACAAAGGACTATGAGGAACTGGGACCAGATGTCTGCCCCACCCAGAGACCAGCCACCTCCCCCACCTGGAGAATAGCCCCACATATTACTGGCCTGTAGTCTTTGTTCGGTGAGTGGGTTCTTTCAGACATTAGTCAACCACCTTCCCTCTTGCTAGCAAGCTGTAATACAGTCCTTTCTCTCCTACCTTGCCTCCTGTCTATTGGCATGTCTTGTGGTGAGCAGAGGATCCCCCTTGGGCAGTAATAATTGTAGCCACCTCCCTTATTCCAATAAGCTTACAACTATCAGGATGGCTCACTTGTGAGGGAAGTCAAGGCACTGGAAAGCCCTGGCTTTCTCTGCTGGTTGCTCTCTTGTAAAACAAGTGATTGTAAGTGACAAGGCCATGACTGTGCTAGTTACAGACTTAAGTCAACATCTGTCTAACAGCAGGTCAGGCCATGAGTGTCTCATCAGAAGCAGGACAGTTGCTCCCATTGTTTTCTTGGGGTGGTCGAGGGGTCAAAGAAGAGAGGATAATGTAGAATCTTCTTCCCCACTGAAGCGGCAGATCCAAACAAGGAAGAACATCTTGGGGAAGCTGGGAGGCTGGATTCAATAGGGTTTAGAGCAGCAGCGTGGGCTATATGTTGTTAGTGTTGGCCACTGCTGACACTACTCAGGTTGGGAGAGGACAAATCACTTGCCCATTACTGTCTTCCTCACTGCACCCGCCACCCCAAAGATTCTCCTTCACTCAAATTTTGTTGCCACCTAGTCTGGGCCCTGTGAGATAAGAAGAGCTCAGTGATAGAGAATCCAAGGGAGGAGCCCAGAAGCTGGCTTGTTTGGTTTGGTTCGGTTTGGTTTGGTTTTGGTGTTTAGTGGGGGAAAGTCAGAGGAAGCGCCAAGGAAGCGGTGAGCCTTAACCTGAGACATGAGGCCAGAAGAACTGGGCATCACCACCTGTCAGTCGGAGACTGCGACCCCAAGGCTCAGAGGGAGCGCTCCTGAGAGCGGCCCGGAGTGCCTTGCCGGCCAGCAAAGTTTGGAAGCCGCCGCCGTGCAGGGAGGGCGCTGGGGAGGAGAGGCCACGGCCGCGCGGGGGCCGTGGTCCTGCACGCTGGAGCTCGGGTAGGCGCCCGGCACCTGGGGCACCGAGTCTTGGGCCGGGGCGCGCCGGGCAGAGGGCGGGGCCACAGCGGCGCGAGCCCGGGATGCGCGCGGGCGCGGAGGAGCGGCTCCGCGCATGCTCGGCTCGCGGGCCCTCCGCCGCGTCCGGGCTCGGGAGGCGTCGGAAGCACCGGGAGCCGCCGCATGGCGCAGGCGGGGAGCGCAGGCCCGGGGAGCCGGGGGCTGCGGGGCGCGGGCGCGGCCCCCGAGCGCGCGCCTTGGAGCTGGACGCTGGCGCTGCTCTGGCTGGCGGCGGCCGCCGGCACCCCCTCCCGGCGCCAGTGGCCAGTGCCCTACAGGTGAGTGCGCGCGGCGCGGGGGCGCGCGGGGCGGGCGCGCGCACGGCCGGGGGCGGCGGGGCGGGGCGCGGGCGTCTCTGTACTGGTCACGCGTCCTGGAGGCGGAGCCCAGTGACGCTCCGGGCTCAGGGTGAACGAAGTTGGGGCTCGCTAGGCGAGCTGCTGGGTGCGCGCCGCCCGGGGCTTTTCTTTCTTTCGGGACCCTTGAGCCAGTTGCGAGGTGACGTAGGCTCAGGGCTGTCCCGAATCATGGAGGAAAAGGGAGTACTGTTATCTTATCGTGTGCCTTTTAGATGCGATTGACTCTGAATGTTTTGGGGGGACTTTTAATGTCGCATTTATCACTTCTGGCATGCCCTGTCATTAGTTATGGGTGCGGAACCTTTGGCCCAATTTACAGCCTGACCAACTCGCCCCGCTTCGCTGAGACTTCCCGTTTTTCGCACTGAAAGTCCTGCCTCCAGGGAATCCCCCGCCCCCTCGGTCCCGGGCAGACTGGGGAGGTTGGTGACCTCGTTTGTCCACTGTCTTCAGCCTGGAGTGGGGACCCTGGTCATAAGTCGAGGCCAGAGACTCAAACCTGTGAAGCTGATTTGAGCCTTTGACCTGGAAAAGTATTGACAGGCCTAGGACCGTCAGAGATGGCTAAACAGAAAGATAACACCGTGTCAACATCAGGCAGAGGAAAGGCCAGCAGCTTTTGAAAACGCACAAGTATTTTGAATGTCAAAATCGCGGTTCGGGAGCGAGTTCTAGCTTCCGACTGCTGCAGATCAAAGCAAGCTCCACCATTAGGAGCTGTGTGATCTTGGGAAAGTGACTCCAAATCTCTGTGCCCACGTGTCCTGAGTCAGAAAGTAGGAATAGTAGTAGCACTCACCTCAGGTTTGTTGGGACGATTAAATCTAGTAAATGCCAGGTATTGTCAACCGTGGATATTAGTGTATTCTGCTCACTGAATGGTTTGCATCACTTCCTTGTTTTGCTTGATATACAAGAAAAGGGAAGTTTGAGGTTGAAGCTAGTTTTCTGGAAAATGTTAATAAAATGTTTATAAGAAGTAAAAATTAAATATTCTGTAAAACAAGAAAGAGATTGTAGATCCAGAACTACTAGATTTAAGGGCAAGGTATTGACTCTGACTTCTTACATTTCTTTAAAAGTTTCAGGTATTAAGTTCATCCTGCCATCTCATCCTTTCAACTGAGTATAATAAAATTTAACTTTATTAAGCTCATACTTAAATTATGCTTTTGGAATTACCTTTGACTTAAAGTGGGTTTTGCTGTGGGCAAGTAAAACCTGTGTATAGTTATGTATTTGTTTAAACCAGGTAAATACCTATAAAATAGATAAGTATACCTAAGTCTCATAAATTCTGGGGAAGGTCATTAATATTTTTGGCTAACATCAACATTTTGTTAACTTCTTAAAGAAAATTTTTGGGGGCCAGTCCCATGGATGAGTGGTTCAAGTTCCACACACTCCGTCTTGGTGGCCTGGGGTTCATGGGTTTGGATCCTGGGCTCAGACCTGCACCACTTGTCAAGCCATGCAGTGGCGATGTCCCACATACAAAATAGAGGAAGATTGGTGCAGATGTTACCTCGGGCTAATCTTCCTCAAGCAAAGAAGAGGAAGATTGGTAATGGATGTTAGCTCAGCACAAATTTTCCTCAGCAAAAAATAAAAATAAAAAAGTTAAATTTTTTTGTTGATGTGTTAGGATGATAAAACAATAGATCTGGCTAGAATCTTAGGGATCTAGGATTTGTAGAGGATAGATAGAGGCAGCTTCTGGCTCTTTCATCTTTCCCTCCCAGTGCCAAACATGGAATGTGGCCAGTGTGTGTCTGTTGAGCTGAATTCAGCCGTAGTCCCCTCTCGGGTCCTATTGCCATGGCCTCCTCAGGCCACCTTCTTTTCTGGTTGCATTATTGCGGTAACCTCCTAGCTGACCTGTCAGCCTGAATTTGGCCTCTCTCACCACCTTCTCCTAATTCATAAAGTGGATTTTATAGCAAACTCAGTTATATCAGATGTGCTACTTAAAATCCTTTAGGCTCCCTCCCGGGCTCGGGGCTCAGTCCTCCCTGGTGGTGGGACCCCCCAGGGGGGTGTGGTTCACACTGTGTTAGTGCAGACTGACAGCTCTGCCTCCCGAATGCCACTCCCACGACCCTTGCCTGAAGCCTGAATTCCAGCCTTATTTACCCATGTGAGACTCCCAGCACATCATACTTGTCTTGTAATACTTCATGTTTTCCCTCATTTTCTGTTCTGACCTTGGAAAGTATTTTAAAAACCTAGGCCAAGTCTTCGTGTCTTTCTTTGCCCTCATCACCCCCAGCCATCCCACACCAGGTAAAAATGATTTCTCCCTTCTTCGTGCCCATAGGACTGTCTGTATTCCTTTAGCACTTAGCACACTGTCCTGCGTTGCTTCTGTAATCTCCTCCCAGCCTCGCCCTCCTCCACCACAGCTCCTTACGGAAGAGAACCGTGTATGAATTTTTGTTTCTCTCTTTCTACTACAGTGTCCCACACATAGTAGATCCTCAATGAATATTGGTTCAAGGAATGTTGGTTAATTCTTAGGAAAATAGAAAACAGATTCTGTTTAATCCTAATTATTTTTAGATAATCTTAATGTATGGGTTGTTTGGAAAATTAAGTATCATTTGAAAAATATTCATGTATTCAGTAAATATTTGTCTACTATAATAAAATCTGGAGCTATAAACATTTTAAGATAGGATCCCTGTCTTCAAAATTCTCAGAATGGGAGCAGGAAACAAGGAAGCATACATTTATCAAAGTGTTTTTAAAGTGTCATTTGCTATTAACGACAGTGGAGTTTGTTTATAACAAATAAAACGTATGTTTATACACTATGGACTGAGTTTTGAATGTTTTCTCTAAAAATGTTATTGACAGTGAAATTTATGCGTTCTAAAATATGCGAGAGGAACCCAATTCCTGTCAGAATCTAAGTTGATGGCTTCTTTTTCTTTATTAGACGCTTTTCCTTCCGTCCGGAGCCGGATCCTTATTGTCAAGCTAAATATACTTTCTGTCCAGCTAGCTCCCCTATGCCAGTTATGAAGGGCGATGACGTCATTGAAGTCTTTCGGTTACAAGCCCCGGTATGGGAGTTCAAATACGGGGACCTCCTGGGACACTTGGTAAGGATGCATCTTGATCTTACAACTTTCGTCAGTTAAATGATGCCATTATTAAGTGGATTTGAGGGAATAATCACTATTCAAAAGGCTGATTTCAGATCAGGTTTATTGGTGTTCCTCTTAGCATATTTAAAATGAGTTGTCAAAGAATATTATCAGGTTCTGTGATCTTGACAATAGCAAACGCAATCACTTGAATCCCTTTTAATATTCTGAATCCAAACCCAACTCCTGTACTCAGCTCCTGGAAAGTGGGAAAGGAGGAGGCCCAGAGGAAGAGCAGGCAGGCAGGAAGCTTCTTTTCCAGGCCCTGGTTACATGCTTTTCCTAGGTTAGCTCCCCATTTGAGCCTCTCATCACCCTGCGAGGTACACAGATGCCCTTCCTGAGACTGGCATGGAGGCTTCTGGCATTCACTCTGAGCTGTAAGGCAATTACAAGTGTGTCCACATAGCATACGTCTTCCTATCTGAGCTGAGCTGCAGTGGCCAAAACAGAGTGGAAGAGGGCCTGGAGCTTGAGGACCCATGGAGTGGCCATGAGAGTAGCAGCTTGGAAGAGGAACAGCTGAGCAGTTGTTCTCCTTGATGTGCCGTTGTGGTAGATCACATTTTCTCCCACCTGGTTCCTCGATCAATGGCCACTTCACAAATGTTTTTTATACATGTATGATCCTTACGCAGAAAATTATGCATGATGCCATTGGATTCCGGAGTACCTTAACGGGCAAGAATTACACGATGGAATGGTATGAACTTTTCCAACTTGGAAACTGCACATTTCCCCATCTCCGACCTGAAATGAATGCCCCTTTCTGGTGTAATCAAGGTGCTGCCTGCTTTTTTGAAGGAATTGATGATATTCACTGGAAGGAAAATGGGACGTTAGTTCTAGTAGCGACCATATCAGGTAAGTTTAAAAAATATGGCAGTATGTGATGATTGTATCGATAGCAAAATGAAAGAAATTAGTGGCATTCAGGCATGTCTCTAATGTTCTGCTTTTTAGAGGTGAATTTATAAAATGTACTTCTGGAACCGCTAACTTTTGACCCAAACTATTACTCATGCAAAACTTCCCCTACAGGTCATGAGTAGTTTTCCTCCTGCTGTGTTCCCATAGGAAAAATGAATGCCATGATAAAACATTTTGTAATTGATTTGCACTTTCTAAATAAAATAGTGGAGGAAAATCCATAAAATACCAGAAAAAATAATTGGTTAAAGGACCTATTAACTATATCTGAAAAAAGATTTTAGTGATGGTAAATTAAAATGTTTTTATGTCAAGAAATAATAATAGCTCCCATTCATGCGGACTTTCTCTGGTCCTGGCGGTGTTCTGAGTGTTTACATATATCACATCATTTTTCATCACAACCACCTCCTGAGAGAGTAGTTGTTATTTTCCCCATTTTATAGATGGGGAAACTGAGGCACAAAGCGCTTAAAGTCACAGAACTAAGTAAGTGGGACTCCAACCCTGGCAGTGAAGTCCCATTGACCATTTTCTTAACCGCTTTGCTACATTGCCTCTCAAAACAGATATGATCTTATGCATTTGAGGACCCCTGAGAAATTTAAATATTTTATCCCCGAGATTGTCTATCCTTTTGGATGTGTGGGAAAGTTGCTGAAACACTTGAAATGTTGCTGCGTGTGCAGCATTGTTGGTTAGTGATGAAGGGAGTTCAGGAGAACTTTTATCAGCAACTGGTTAGGTGACCTTGGGTCATATTTTACCATATCGACTCATTGCCTCGTATATCGAATACAGATGTGCCCCAAACCATCCCAACAATATAAAAGTCTTTCTCTTTTAACAGTGCTCCATATAATAAATAGCTGCTCTTTCTTTCATTCCAGGCCAGTTTGCATCTCTCCTTTCTTCACTTCCATTATCTGAAAATTCTTCCTACTGCATCAGTGTATGATCATATGTTCGAACAAGTGATCACTATTTTCTCTAATACGACAGCACTTAAATCTTTTGTTATCCATTTGCCTTGTGATTAATCCTGTTCATTGATCTTTGTTTCACATTACAAAATAGTGTTTTGAAGCATTCTTAACTCTTAATTAGAGCAGTGGCTTTTCAAAGTTGAAGAACACTAGGAACAGTATCCCCAGTTCTAAGAAAACAGGCTTTATATTATTCCACAATTTTAATTCCCTAAAATTGATACAGGCAGCCACTCTGTTCATTTTCTAGGACATGAGGTATTGATTTTATGGACTCGTGTTGGAGTAACCTGGGAAAGGTTCCCACGGTGACAAAGTGAAATGTTGGAGCCGAGCTCTATTGGGCATTATAAATGCCCAGATGAGGTTGTAACCATGTGGAGTGTGGTGTTTTGTTAACATTGGACCACATTCCTCTGGTCTGGTACAAGGTGGCAGGAGAGAGTGTTAGCCATCCTAGAGTCTGTATAGTTCATGAACTTGGGCAAAAACATTTCCAGTTTAGTTGATTCATTGGAAGAATTTGCGTGGTGGTTGGCAAGGTTGTAAGCAGATTCCCAATAGCTGTGAGTACTGGGAGAAAAGGGAAATACCAGATATTCAAAGTGGAGGGGCTATGGTGTTTTGTCTTGTAACTAACATAAGTAGGCCAGCCTTCTAGAGTAGCTGTGCCTCAGACAGCCATTCCTACAGTATGCGTACTACACTTTGGGACTGAAAACCTCATATTTCACCCTCCTCAATTCTTACTGTCTTTGCCCCATTCACCTTTTCCTCTTCCACAATCTTTTCCTTCCTTTCTTTCTCCCTTTTGCTTCTAAATCCAAGATTTGTTGAGTAGGGTAGAGAAAGAGGGCTTCTGTATATGCATAATTTTGCTTTTGACTGTAGCTTAAATGATTATAGAATTAGTGTGTAAGACTTCTTTATACAAGTATTATATTCAGTGTTCACAATTCAGAAACACCTTGAGCCTTGAAGAATGGAATACAAATTGGCTGAGCTTGGATTCCTATTGTGAGATGCAGGTTTGGAAATTCAAAACCTGTTGTTTATTCACATACATCCCTAGCCTTAATCAGGTTGGAACATCTTGCTTAAAACTAATGTGATTAGCTTTGATGTTTACATAGGTGATTTTTTTCTTTTAACTAGGAAACGCATTTAACAAAATGGCAAAGTGGGTAAAACGGGACAATGAAACAGGCATTTATTACGAGACGTGGACTGTTCAAGCCAGCCCAGAAAAAGGGGCGGAGACATGGTTCGAATCCTACGACTGTTCCAAATTTGTGTTAAGGACGTATGAGAAGTTGGCTGAATTTGGAGCAGAGTTCAAGAAGATAGAAACCAACTATACAAGAATATTTCTTTACAGTGGAGAACCTACTTATTTGGGAAATGAAACATCTATTTTTGGGCCAACAGGAAACAAGACTCTTGCTTTAGCCATAAAAAGATTTTATTACCCCTTCAAACCGCATTTGCCAACTAAAGAATTTCTGTTGAGTCTCTTGCAAATTTTTGATGCAGTGATTATACACAGACAGTTCTATTTGTTTTATAATTTTGAATATTGGTTTTTACCTATGAAATTCCCTTTTATTAAAATAACATATGAAGAAATCCCTTTACCTAACAAAAACAAAACGTTCTCCAGTTTATAAAACCTTAATTCTACTGCTCTTTTTTCTCCTGCCACCAGCATATCAGTTTTTCAGGGCCTGCCTGGTTTTACTTTTGTGGATTTCTTAGTCCTTTCTTCCTTGGGGCAGAAAGGTAAAATGCACATGGGCAGAATTGCTGCATCATAATATCTCAGGACCTTTTTTGTAAAGAAGCTGAAACTCTTAATGTATTGGCCAAAGTGAGCATGTTAGGAGATTTTGATTTCAGTTACCAAGCTTTTTGAGTTATATAGTTCATAGCAGATATAGAGGATCTTTGAACCCAGTATTTTTAAATTGTGGATATGGTGTACCAAGATTTTAAAAATACCCCCAGTGACATTTTCATGGTGGGAGCTACTTTTTTCCGGTATGGTGGTTATGCTTTTTCATTTAAGTACTTTTTGGTCATTTTGAGTGACTTTACAGCTTTTGTAACTTTTGGAACCAGGTCTGATAGTTGATTTTGTTCCGTTTACATAACCTTAAAGACCGATTGGGACACCATAGCTGGAGTGGTTGTGCTTCCAGATGTGGTAAATACAGTGTTAAAGAGCACAAGTTTCTGGTTAGCATTTTGTGATTTAAGCAGCTTAACAGCTCCAAACCTTAGTTTCCTTATTTCTAAAACGATTCATCTGTCAGGATGGTTGTAAAGAGTGAAGTCGTGTGTGTTTGGCATAGTAAGGTCACAATAAATGGTATTTACTGGTATTAAATGGTAATAAATGGTATTTAATCACAATATAATGATTAATCAAGGAACAAACTGCCATCCTTCATCTTGCCTAATGTCGTTTACGTGCCAGCCTTTCCTGAGTTTTGTAATAACCACCTAGACTTTGAGCTGACAGCAGAGTGCTTCTGCAGTTCTTCAGATGCGTGGGGCCTGGAAGTATCTGAACGCAGACACGTCTGCGTGGACATGCACCCTCTGACTCTTTCTCTGCTTCGTGTAGTCCTCGCTCTGCCCACCAAAGCTGCCGGCTCAGTGGAAGAGGGTCCACTTCCCAGAGAGAGGACAGGTATTGTCAAGGGTCTCCAAGTAGCTGTGTTTCCATCAGGACCATCAAACAAAATTTCAAGGTCCTCTAAGTGTTTGATGATCAACTGAACACATTCTTTCTATTCATGGAAAAAACACCAGTCAGTAAGATGATGAAACAGAAATCAGAGAAAACGATCCCTGTTTACTATGTAAAGGTACCAATTATATTATTCAGTTTCTGCTTACATTTGAGTGCTTCCTGAGAGTTTAGCACATTATCACAGAGTTCTCATAAAAAGCCTAAGCATAGATATTGTTTACCTGATCCAAATGAGTAAACTGGGGCTTAGAAACGTTGAGTGACCTTTCCACAGCTACCCAGCTGGTGGTTATGGAGCCACATTTTGAACCAGGCTCTGCTGACTGAATGGGATGCACTATCAAGCCAGTTTTTCAGCACTACTCAAAGTGTGGTCCTCAAACCAGTGCCTGCACTGTATGTCACTAACACCGTGTGGTACTGGTCTGTGAGGAGGTAAGTACAGATGCTGATAGGAAGCATTTAGAAACTTGTAAAGCAACTTGTTGGAGTAATTTTGTTTCTGTTGAACCTAATTAAAAAATTGGGATTTATATTTTCTTTGTTTCTATTTGTCTAGGAATTCGTTTTTACTCTTTTTCAAAACTATAGGCACTACAACAGTCTGAAAATAAAAACCCAGCCCTTTACCACCAATAGCTTGAGAAGTACTGCACTATTCTGCTTATTACACAGAAGTAAAGTCTTACTCAAATACCTAGGGAGAACTTTCTTTCACTGCCCATCATTTAGTCTGTCTGCTCATGTTAATAGTGCCTAAACATTCCGAATTAATTTTGCCTCTTTAACCTACTAGTTGTCTTCAGGGTATGTCACCAGAAAACTTGGATCTTTGCATTATCACCATCTAGTGGCTAAAATTGGGCAATACCAACTTCTACTAGATTCTTAGGAAAATTGCTCTGGGAAAACTGTATTTTGGATTTCCAGAACTGCACTGGGGTAACAGGCAAAAACTCTTGTGCCAAGTTTGTGTTAACTGTAAATCACAGAACTTGGTTCCATAGGCAGAGACAAATGAGGACCTGTGTGCATGAATTTTAAAGCAAGATTCTAATAGTTACATTAAAAAAGCATTCAAGATTTTTCATTGTTCCTAAGAATATTAATAAATGAAGAAATTCTGTGAAAGTAACATAGACTCAGATGACTATAGCACCAGAGCACAGCATTCATACAAGTAAGTACTTCTTAAGAATTTATCAGACCTGTCAACTGTACTTAGATGACGACGTAGGGCTTTGGAGTAGAAATGATTCAGGAACATGCTTTCAAAATGGTAGTTGGGAAACCAAATCATGGCCAGGCAGGAATTTGCCAATTAAATTTTGCTGCCATTAACTACTGTATAACTTAAATATGATTTGTTTTTCTGTCAATTTAAGTTGTAAATGTATAAAATTTCCTAAGAAAAACCATTGTGTTGAAGTTTGAATTATTTTATTAGGGCTTTAGAATATATATATTCTCACTCAAATCTGGGTATTAGGTAAGTATACTCACAAAGTGTCGTCAAATATATTTCTGTAGGTACAGTTAAATGGTCAAAAGGTGAAAATAACTACTAAACTTTAGATTATTTGGAACCCTCAATCAATATTGGCTCCTTCTTAGAAATCAATCAGAAAAAAAAAAGTCTTGGGAAATTTCATCCAGTTTTATAATCTGCTCTGGTGGCATTTAATGAATTCTCTGGGACTACAGTTCCTTTAAGAAGATGACTTTATTTTTTTTTTCAAGAAATTACTGGCATGTTATACAAAGGGCAATGCTTCATAAACCACACAGATGCTTTACCCTATTCACAGCCAAAGGCAAATGGGCTGGCCAGTTTGTTTCCAGCGTCTTTCTCATATTTACCCTTTGTTTTCCAAGCAGCTTCCTGCTCCTCAAACGTTCCTTTCCATTATTTTCTCTCCCCTATTTAAAACAAGATAGGCTATTAAACATATATTCTTTTACTGGACTGATTATTCTAAGAATAAGCTCTTAATTCACTTTTGGAGTACCAGGCTTTGTGTCCTTTTATGATGTTATCTCATGATATGCCCCTTTTGAAAGGAAAGTTGGGTGTCAGTGAGCAGGGAAAACTCTTCCGGCTGCTTGGTAACGTTACAGCCAGCCCCACAGATAAAGGGGGCTGGAGCCTGTGCAAAGACTGTCCAGCCGTGTACAGGGTAGACATTGCTTACAGCGTCTTAAAGGACTTAGTTCAGCCTGAGCCTTCTTCACACCAACCCTCCCTTCTGGCCTAAGCTTTTCTGTAAATAGAAAAAATTCTGTGAATGCAGTAAATTGATTTAATCTTCAATCATGCCTGTTTTTTCTGATAATATTGTTAAAATAGTCCAGAATATCAAGGTAAATTAAAGTTCTTTTCTGGAAGCTAAGACAGACAGGAGATGAAAATAATTTCAGTAGTTTAAAAACTATTCTTATTGCATGGATTTATATAGACATTCTCTCTAAAAAGGCTGGCTGAGTTCAAGGACCCTAAGAATTCTTTTTTAAATAATCTGTTTTATAAATTCTTATTCTAAATGCAGGAAGACCCTATTCCTTATTTTTAATTTAACCATTTTATTTATAAAATTTGAAAAATAAATTTACATTTCATGGTCCATTTTTAATTTACTATCACTTCAGACATCAGAGCATATTTCAAGAATAGAGTCCATTTGCTTAATCTTGTATCTTCAAAAAAGTTACTCTACCAAAAACATTATTTAATGTTAAGCATTATATCCATCAAATATGTATTTGAAACTAAAACTATAAATGTGTAAATTTAACTTGTTTTAAAATCAAGTAAGTATATATGTTAGTGTAGTTCTGAAGAATTGTAATAACAACAGCATTAGTAACTATCTTTATTCTGAAACTGATAAAAGCATTTAACATACTTTACAGTATAAACAAATCAAGTGCTATGCATTTTGCTTATAAAGTAACTTAAAGTATTTCAAGCATTATATAATTCAATTTGTACAAAAAGTAAATTTCCAAATAAAGCTTTGGTTAGTAGAACTGATTATGTACTGCCAAATCCATTTTCCAAAGTTATTCAAGGAAAAATAACTTTATCCACTAACACAGTATTTCTTGTACAATCAAAGCTTTTTACTATTTAGTAAGAGGGGAAAAGATTACAATAATTGCTTTTCATTTCTAAGTCTGGATCAGCCTTTCCTCATCTCATTTTTATGTGGCCAGAATACCATCACTTTTGAAAAGCATAAATTATGTAGAAAATCACCTTTTACTTTATTCTTAGGAAGGTAATCTATTTTAAAAATAGATTCAATCTGTAAAACTATTAGCTTCCATAACTACGGAAATGCTTTCTCCAAGTCTCAAGTATTAATATATTCCATTGGGGGCAAATCACTTCTAATTCCCCTTGGGGGGTGATATCTACTAGCACTAGTGCTCAGAATCAAAGTTTATATAATATCTAAAACTCAGTGTAGCCCAAAACTTAATATTTTTACAGATTCTACAATATATGAATTACCTTTATTCATATGAAAGTAATAAAAATGCTACCTAACTTAAATAATATAAAATAGCACTTTAACCAAATTAACAATCACAAAATTGCAGACATTTTTCTATTAAAACTTTCCAGTTCACTGAGCAATACTTACTCAAAAATATGATTATGAATTTAAATATATCTTTTAAATTTACTCTTTATGCTGAACTGTACATTGGTGCTTTTATGATTTTTGAAAATTCTACTTACATTACTATATAATTCCAAAATGGAAAAATGAGCCACCACTAAAATTCAGTGGAGACTAATATTCTTTCATGGAAACAATTTATCAACATTTTAAAATTCTACCTTTAATTATTTCAATTTGGCTTTTTAAAATAGATAAGCTTATCATTTCAATTGTTATATAACACTTCAAAACTAGTTTAAACAAAGATAAACAAAACCAAGGAGAACTGGTAAAGCATTCCTTACTTTACACATGATGCCTCAAGTGCCATATAGTAACATATCACAGAAAAGAATTATATGGTTTGGCAGATTATAGAGGAAACAGAAATTTATACAAAGCTAAACACTGCCTCCCTTCTATTCCACTTATTTTCTTTTAATTTGATCTTGGTTCTGTTTATTATCCTTCTGTGCTAACAACTGTGTGACATCAGTTTTCTAAGTATTCCAATTATCTATATATACCTCTTTAAATAGCTCTGTAACATTTGAGAACATTCAACCAATCTCTTTCATTAGATACAATATATCCTACATTTTTCTCACAAAATGCTCACTTTCCTGAGCTATATTAAACACCTTATAACAGGTGTAAGTATAACTGAAGACCCTAAAATGTCAAGTTTCATTTTTAAAAAAATGCATAGAGAACATAACATTTTGGAAAATCTATTAGTACTCACTTCTTGGATATTATATGTTTTGCTTCCTTCAGACTGTAACATTTTAATCTTTATAACTGGTTATTACTTTCAGATCTGAACCACATTTTTAAAAAACTTTTCTAACATTTGACTGCTGTTAGGCTAAAGAGACAGATGTTTTCTGGCCAAAACTGGTCCGTGGGTCCTCCAATAAACCGTCCTTATATACTCAATGCAGATATCAAATTTCCATGCCACAAAATAGTAAAACTACAAGAAATAAAACTTTTATTATAATACAATATGCTTAAAGTTAAGGTGCTATTCATCATGCCCTACATCATTCAGTCTTTACCAAGTGGGCATCATGTCTGGAAACCACACCCTACCAAGATGCTTGGACACTTCCCAATGAATCTGCTCCAGACTATACTTTTGGTCAGGAATTAATACTTCTTCCATAATGGATAATTGAGACAGGCGGCCACCACACATCTTCACAAACTCAACAAAGGCACTACATGAGACTTCGCATTCCCCCAGTCCAATAGCTGACAGATTTTTGCAACGTTCTGCAATGCGAATTAGCTCTTCATCAAGTGGCCGTAATCCATTTGCACACACTACTAGTTCAACTAGTCTAGGGCATGTCATTCCCACTCGGCCAAGCACATCTTTGCTTACTGATCTCCCAAAGTAAAGATGGGTAGCAGGTATTTCATACCGAAAAAATGGATCAAATTCCTCTTCATATAAAAAAAAATACATCACTAAGTTCACTTTGGGTGAATGTCTGATGAAAGCATCCCAGCTGCTCTTCTGAATAGTATGAAAGTGTGTCTGTCCAGGATTCTCACTGACTACATCAATACGCAAATGTTCTAATCGAACGTGTTTTTCAGAAGATAAAGCAAGCAGCAATTCATCACTTAACAAGTGGTAATTCAAGGCCAATTCACGTAAGCCATGACATTGATCAGCCACACAAAGGATACCTTGGAAGAAAAAATAGGTAGTTATTTACAAATTTTTGTACAAGTTCATCATCTGTTCAAAAATTTAATCAAATACATATCCCACAATAAAATTTTACCATATTTCCCTTACCACAAAGCTATACAATTTAAAATTCAGTTGTATGGTTGAACAGAGCAGAAAGTCACACTTAAAAATCTATTACTAATTTTGTCTACAAGAAAATGAGACCAATTCTAAATCCGATACCTTAAGAAGAAATGAAGCTCACTTAACTCAGAATAATTATAAATTATTAATAAATAACTGTCATTTTAAAATATATCATGACTCTAAGTAAGGTTTATCCCAGTAATGCACGGACAGTGTCTATTTTTAAAAAAACTGATTACTAACAGTAAACTTATAGGTTAAGGAAGAAAAATTAAATGATCATTGCAACAGAGGTCAGAGGACATTTTCTGAAATTCAAAACCTACTCCTAATAAAAAAAAACAGATGAGGTAAAACCATATCAAATATGACTGATGTAACTAAATAAAACATTTGAAAAATTAAAAAGATTTTCATCAAATGAGCAACAAAGAGTTTAACTGCTAATAGTATATAATAACCTTGTCAAATTTCTTAAAAAATACCAAGATACCACCTGATAAAGGAGTCAAAAGATAACTACCCAATTCACATTAATGGAAATAGACACTATGACTTTTAAAGCTCTAACACATACACAGAAAGCAGTTCCTTAAATGGTTCCCTATATACTTAGGCTTACTAGGCTTCAAAACTGCCCCAAACCCCTAGCAGCAGATGATTTCACCAAAGGTCAATATCTGATCTCTGAAGTGGCCTAGTATAAGAACTCTGCCCCAAGGAGACACCCCAAACTACTTGGTAAATGGCCCACTCAAACCATTTCATTGTGTTTGGAAACAAGGATAGGAACAACCAAACACATCATATCTACTATTTATTGTACAAGTATGTTAGGTACCAGACATGTTACACCACAAATACTCCAATAAATCTAGAAAATAAGTATTTCTATTTTGAAGTTGAGGCAGCTA